TGGCGGACGCGCTTGGTTTCCGCTTGGAGGCCTGGCCGCCCACTGACGTCGAGCCCGGGGAGCAGCGGGCCCGGCTATGCGCGGCAGAGAGCCGGGAGGGACCCGGGGCAGGGCGCTGCTGGCCGCCGGCCTCGCCCGAGCGTTTTACCTGAATGGCCCTCCATCAGGAGACGGTAGTCCGTGAAGTGTACTGGTAGAAATGGAAACGTCGGATGTGCTTTTGCCAAAAAATCTTTGAGGTCCCTTGCAACCTGGTATTCAGTGATTCTGTGACTGGAGCAAGGAGTTCCCCAAAGGGTGCTGAGCCATCGCCAGGGTCCCGGGGGTTTGCCCTCGGTGATAGGGAAAGTCATGGCAAAGGGAGGGGATTGTGCCCCTCTGCTCTCCTCTGGGGAGACCCCTCTGCAGTGCTGCCTCCAGCTCGGGGGCCTCAGCACTGGAGAGACATGGACCTGGTGGAGCGGGGCCAGAGGAGGCCCCGGAGATGCTGGGAGGGCTGGAGCCCTTCTGCTGGGAGGACAGGCTGGGAGAGTTGGGGGGGTTCAGCCTGGAGAAGAGAGGGTGAAAAAGGGGAGACCTTATTGCAGCCTTTCAGTACTTAACAGGGGCTTATAAGAGAGACAGGGACAGACTTTTTAGCAGGGCCTGTAGCAATAGGACAAGGGATGATGGCTTTAAACTAAAGTAAGGTAGATTCAGGCTAGATATAAGGAAGAAGTGGTTTACAATGCGGATGGTGAAACCCTGGCCCAGGTTGCCCACAGAGGTGGTGGCTGCCCCATCCCTGGAAACATTCCAAGTCAGGTTGGATGGGGCTCTGAGCAACCTGGTCTAGTTGAAGATGTCCCTGTTCATGGTGGGGAGGTGGACTAGATGTTCTTTAAAGGTCCCTTCCCACCCAAACTATTCTATGGCAGTGCAGGACACTTGGTGCTTCCACTAACACCTCTCCTCTGTAGCTGTAGAACTGACTCAGTATCAGTTACTATGTCAGTCTGCTGATCTCGGTGAGAGTTTCTGTGCTGTGCCTAAACACCATCTTTCCAGATGTGTTGTTGTGGAGCAGCCTGTCTCCAGCAGCAGGCTGTGTTCCAGGTCACAGAAACGGCCCACAGTACACAGGGAGGCAGAAATGGCCCACTAGCAAATGAAGTTTCTTCATCTTTTCAGGCTCTAGGCAGCTGTTTCTCCTTTTGTAACCTGTGCAAGGAAGTTGGCTTTTTTTTTGTTTTCCGTATGTTCA